ATTTTATTAGAGGTCATCGACATATAATATATAAGCTTAATAAATATATATATATATATATATATATTATGTTTTATAGATATATAATATATATTATATATATATTATATTTTACAGATATATAAATCTACATATATCTATATTATATTTCATAGATATATATATTGTATAAATCTGTATATTATATATATATTATATTTTATAGATATATATACTATATAAATATATATATATATATTATATAGATATATCAACATATATATAATATATAAATTATATATATATAGATCTAATAACATATAATACATGAATATAAAGATGAAGAAGGAAGTAAAATAATAAGTAAATAATATATTGAATAATATGTTAAACATAGTACTTTAAAGCTGCATAAATAATAGAAGAAAGTAATGAAGTAATACCTTTAAATATCTTAGGGTTTTTATTATACAGCCCGTCAACATCAGTTAAAATAAAAAGAAAATCTGCTGCTACAGCAACTGCACAATGAGCAGCAAGGCAGTCGTTGTCACCAAATCGCAGTTCTTCTGTACAGACGGAGTCGTTCTCGTTTATTATCGGCACAACCTAAATACAATTATATATAAATATAAATATATATGTATATATATGTATATATATATATATTTATATCTTTTCTTCTGTTTCACTCTACTCTAAATTATCTATTTACTCATTTGTATATCTATATATCTATATATAAATGTATATATATATGTAAATGTATATATATATATATATGCATATATATATATATATACATATATATATGGATAGAGAGAAAGGAGACAAAAAGGCGACAAAAAGGATATTAAGAAAATATAAAAAGGAGACAGAGAAGAGATAAAGAGAAATAAAAAAAGATATAAAAAAGATATAAAAAAGATATAAAAAGTAGACAAAGAAGAGACAAAAAGAATATTAAAAGGAGACAAAAAGGAGGCAAAAAGAATATTAAAAGGAGACAAAAAGGAGACAAAAAGAATATTAAAAGGAGACAAAAAGAAGATTAAAAGCGAGATGAAAAAGAGACAAAAATGATATAAAAAGGAGACAAAAAGGAGACAGAAAGATATAAAAAGGAGACAAATAATATATAAAAAGGACATTAAAAAACAGAGTTAAAGACAGACAAAGAAGAGATAAAGAGGAGACGCACAGACATTAAAAAGAGACAGCTAAAGAGAGACAAAAAAGATTAAAAGGAGACACTTAATCTCACTTGTAAATCCATCAGTGCGCGGAGACAGTTCGTAAAGTTGCGAAAAGACTTCTCTCGCAGCAAATCGCTGCGGCTCACCAACAGCTGACCTACGCGGACACCCCGAACGCTGCAGCAGCAGCAGCAGCAGCAACAGCAGCAGCAGCAGTAGTAGCAAAGTAGTAGCAGTACTAGAAGGGGCAGCAGCAGCAGCAGCAGTAATACGAAGTGCAGCAGCAGTAACAGGAAAAGCAGCAGTAGCAGCAGTGACAGCAACAACAGAAGCAAAAGGAACAGTTGCAGCAGCAGCAGCAGCAGCAGCAGAAGCAGCAGAAGCAGCAGCAGCAGCAGCAACAGATAAACTGTCGATAGCTTAGACAGCTGCACAGCAGCAAAAGCCTGTTTATCTTTAGTTGTAAACTATATAGTAATAACAATAATAATAATAATAATTATTATTATTATTATTATTATTAATATTATTTTAATTTAATTTATTTGTTTATTTTTACCCGAAGAGCTCCTCATACACTCGCATTAACTTAGACTGTCCGACAGCAGCAAAAGCCTGTTTATCTTTTGTTGTGCTCGGCTTTGTCTTTTTATTTAAATAGGCGCATGCAAATCCGACAGCACCGCTCGTAACCAACAATACAGCAAAACCTTCTCTTCTTAAGGCGCACACCTGCGTATACACCCCAGTATATATATATATATATAATATATATATATATATTATATATATATTATGTATATATATATTTGTATTTATGTGCCCCTACATACACCGCTTTATTATCTAGAGCTGCATATACACCCCAGTGGGACATAGAGATGCACCCGCCAGCAACAGCAACAGCAGCAACAGCAACAGCAGCAGCAACAATAGCAATAGCAGCAACAGCAACAGCAGCAATAGCGACAGGAACACCAGTAGCAGCAGCAGCAGTAACAGCAACAGCAACAACAGCAGCAGCAGCAACAAGAGCAGCAACAGCAAGAGCAGCAACAGCAACAGCAGCATCAGCAGCCACAGCAGCAGCATCAGCAGCAGCAGCAGCAGTTGCGTGTGTGCATTACTGTATCGACGAGTTTGGCGATATTTGTCAGAGACAAAGACGGAGATGAAGATGAAGACGAAGAAGACGAAGAAGAAGATGAAGATGAAGAAGATAAAGAAGATGAAGATAAAGATAAAGAAGAAGAAGATAAAGAAGATAAAGAAGATAAAGAAGATAAAGATAAAGATGAAGAGGAGTCAATCAAAGACGATGTTCCCACCTTCAACACTATCGTTACTCTCTCACATCCAAACAAACTAAACAACGTGCTTCTGCTGCTGCTGCTGCTGCTGCTGCTGTTGCTGTTGCTGTTGTTGCTGTTGTTGTTGCTGCTGCTGTTGTTGTTGCTGCTGCTGTTGCTGTCGTTGCTGTTGTTGCTGTTGCACCTGCTGCTGTTGCTGTCGTTGCTGTTGCTGCTGTTGTTGTTGTTGCTGCTGTTGTTGCAGTTACTGGGGGGATGGTTGCTGCTGCTACTGATGCTGCTGCCTCTGCTGCTGTGGCTGCTGCCCTGGCTGGGTCCGTGGTTGCCGCTGTTGCTGCTGTTGTTTGTGCTGCTGCTGCTACTTCCCCTTCCGTTGCAGCAGCAGCTGTTGTTGCTGCTGCAGCAGCAGCAGCTGTTGCTGCTACGAGTTTTCTCTGTTGACTCCATCTCCTGCTGCAGCGCGGACTGCGTGTGGTGTATCGGCAGTTGCTTCTGCTTGTTGCTGCAGAGGGAAACCACAGAGGCACCAGCAGCAGCAGCAGCTGCTGCTGCTGCTGCTGCTGCTGCTGCGCTGCTGTCGAGGCTGATGCTGCTAGTGCTGGTGCTGCTGCTGTTGCTGCAGCTGTAGACACCCTTCTTTCTCTGTCCTAAGCAGCAGCAGCAAATGCTAAGTTCTTTTATCTCTTCGTAATTACCTTTCAAGGAAGAAGACGAGCAATAAACCCTGAGAGGTCACCAGACACCCGAAGGACTGCTGCTGCTGCAGCAAGAAGGAGGAGACGTGTAAGAAGTGTAGGGCTAAAGAAAAGACAAATGATGAGGAGTATGTAAGCTAGTTTTAGTGTTTAGAAAAGTTCATGGTTTCAACTAGGGTTTAGGGTTTAGGGTTTAGGGTTTAGGGTTTTGCTCTGCCACCCAAAGACCTAACGAGCCTCTCTAGGCCTCAGCTAGTATATTATAATTTCTTCTTAAAGAAACAGAGCAGCAAACTTATTTAAATTAGCTCATTGTTTATTTAATAATTATTTATGCCTTTTAAAACAAATATATTATCGTTATTACCGCCAGCAGCAGCAGCAGCAGCAGCAGCAGAAGGAGCAGCAGCAGCAGCAGCAGCAGCGAGTTGCTGCAGCACCAGACCATTCATTCATAGGGGGGCTGTACACCGGAGCCAAGATACACTTTATATTGTTATTATTATTATTATTATAAATTATAATTTATTATAAATTATTATTATTTATATTAATATATTTATTTTTTGTTGTATTATAATAAAAACTTTTCGCTGCTCCTTTCTCGCTCTCCTGTATACCCTATGTTTAGGGTTTAGGGTTTAGGGTTTGATAAGGAGCGAATCTTTATCTTTATATATATTTATCTTCATATACATATATAAATGTATATTTAAATACAAATATATAAATAACTAAGTATATATATGTATTCTTTTTAGATGTAAACATAGATATGTATCTACATATAAATACGTACGTAGAAAGATATACATACACATATAAATATATATATATATGTAAGCATATATATATATATATATATATATATATATATTTATATTTATATTTAGATATATATATATTTATATTTATATTTATATTTATATGTACTTATTTAATTTATTTCCCCCCTACATCATTAACACCATACTCTTTTTAGGTGTATGTACACCCCGCCAATCAGCTAGCCAGTTAAAAGGCCCAGCTAGCCAATTAAAGAGCCCCAGCTGGCTAACCAAAAGGCCCAGCTAGCCAATTAAAGAGCCCAGCTAGCCAATTAAAGAGCCCAGCTAGCCATTTAGAAGACCCAGCTAGCTAACAGTGAGGCCCAGCTAGCTACTACTAAGACCCAGCTAGCCAATACTAAGAGCCAGCTAGCCACTACTAAGACCCAGCTAGCCAATACTAAGAGCCAGCTAGCTAGCTAACTAGAAGGCCCAGCTAGCCATCATGAAAGGGTAGAAGAGAGGGGAAGGTGTGGGGTGTCTGTGTGGGGTGTCTGTACACCTCAAGGTGCTGCGGAGTTTAATAATATAAATAAAGAAGGAGACGCCTCTCGGCTTTCTGTTTGCGGCAAACTCTTCTAAGTTAGCTAGCTAGCTAGCTAGCTAGATGCTTCTCGCCTAGCTAGCTAGT